AGCTTGTGGGGCCCTGCTTTGAGGTGCCGCCCAGAGGAGAAAGGCCCCCAGCAGCTGTGTTTTGGGAGGTGGGAGGGGAGGGTCAGACCCTAAAATAGCTGGGCCTCAGCTCGCGATCACTTGCTCAACCCATAGTCCCTTCTCTTTGGGGAATTAGAGATGTAGGCTGTTGTAGCAGCAGGCTGCATTACCTGTGGTGCAGAGCTTTGATTTTTTTCTTCTCATTTAGGATAAACATAAATATTCAGGGAGGGCAGTATCTGGACCAAGCAGGCAGCAGGGTGAGAACATGGACCTGGCCAAACACCGTAACGTCGTCAGGTCCCCACGCCCCACTGCGTCCAGTCTTCATATCCCTGAACCGGCACGTGGGGGTCAGGATCCTGGGCCAGGACAAGATAGCCGTGTCCTTCCTCGCCATGGGGCAGCAAGCAAAATTCAACGTGGGAACAAAAGTACAGGTATTGCTCAAGCACACAGGCAGCTCAGCAGTGGAAGACGGCTCCCCGCAAAGCGAGCAGGGTGGCAGGGAACCCGCACATCCAGCAGCTGGGCACGGGTTGAATCAGCCGCAGTGCCTGCAGGAGGGCCTGGCCCTGTGCAGCGGGACAAGGACCTGGCCCCACGACGCTGGAGGAGAAACCGGCCCCGCTTCGCCGGCTGTCGCAGCCTTCCCACAGCCCTGAGGGCTGGGAGCAGAGCTCGCCAGGCCAGATAACACCTTCGTACACCTTGGGAGGGGGGGGTGTGCCCTGGTCCAGAGTGGGCACGCTCATCGCTCTACGCGTGTCTCTCGTGTTGCCCCATGCTTTCATCCCGCCCTCCAAAACAACAACAGGTCGAGGTGTACCTGTGCTCAGGGGCTTGCTAGCCCCTGCAGCGCTGACCATCTGCAGCGCTCAAGGCGTTCCTGGGTTGGTGCACGGGGCAAATCCCTGGCTCTGCGGGGTGGGGGAGTGGAGCCATGGGCCAAGAGGGCAGGGGCGTGCAGCAGCCCCTTCCTCCCTGCGTGCCAGGAGCCACGCGCCTGCCCAGGGGCAGTTTCTCTCCTGGCAGAGCCCCCCAGCCTTCCCTCAGCCCCTGCCTGCAGAGCGAGCACGCTGCAGTGGGCTGTGGTGACACCTTTCGCCTTGGTTTCCCCCCCAGGTCAGTGCAGTCGACCAGCTGCCTCCACCCTCCCAGCTGAGCGAAGACCATCTCTTGCTGCTTGCCTTCAGAATAAGGATCTGGCGACTCTTTAATAAGCTGCATGGATGCTTAACCTTTCCTTCTAATGAGCAATGGGACAAAATCAAGCCTCCAGCTTACCTTACTACACAGGCTTTAAAGATCATACACCTCTGCATGACTTCTGATGTAAGCGAAGAGGTACGCAGCTTGGTAAGGGCAATAATAAATGTGCAAGTCTGACCAGCCCTTGTGTAGTGTACAGGCAAAGTTAGCTGAGTATGGGCAGAGCTGGGGTGCTCCCTGGTGCTGCAATGCTTGCACACACTCGACGTTTCGCTTGCAGCACTTGGCTGCCGTGGTGTGGAAAGCCCAGGCTGTGGCTGCTCCGCACAGCTCCTGCCTTGGGGCCATCCCACCCCCGTGGGGAGCTCACTCAGCATAAGCAAGGGTGTGGGGCAGAGAGCAGCACATCCAGATTTCGTGTCAGGCCACAGATTTACATGAAACACATCTAGGCCACAGGGGCACCAACTGGGGCTTCACTCAGGGCAGACTATATCCACGCTCAGTGTAGGTGTATCGCTCCCAAGCAGCCTCCCTTCCACCTCCCAGCCGAAACAGCCCTGTCTGAACAGTTATTTCAGCCCCCTGCGGTTGACACAAAGGTAAAAGCAAGCAAAAGCACAGGTAAGTCATGGCCTGTGGTGGGCAAACGGGGAAAGTGCTAGGCACAAGGTCAATGTCACTCACCGGCACAGGCTCACTCTGTGCACAGCTATTTGGACTAGCACCACAGGGGAGACCAGACTTCCCTGGCACAGGGCTGGATGGCAGCTCAACCTGCTGCAAGAAAGAAACGTGGAAACTCTCCTGTGCAGAGAAGGACAAAAGCCCCCAGTTTGTCAAAGGCAACCAGAAGTTACAGCTCAGCTACTTTCAGGTACATACTGGGGACACAGAAGGCTGTGAGTATCAGACAGCATGCTGGAGCTGCAGCCTCCTGGCAGTATTTCATATTAAATCACTTAATGCAGTGGGAAGGCGGCACTTTCTTGGCTTCCTCAGGGTTTCCCTCCTGTGGCGGGGCTGACAGCTTGGCAGCCTTGGGAACAGCGTGAGCGGAGACGGTGTGGGATGGACTCTTCACAAATGGGGTGCCTCAGGCCTGTCCCCAGTGCAGCTCTCGACAGTGCAGACGTTCGCCTGCACCGCTGCCAGCGGCTTCACCAAGCCCGTCTTCTTGCGCTTGAGCAGCTTGACGAGGTGGCTCCTGATGTCTTTGCTGTGCAGGGCGTAGATAAGGGGGTTGATGAGGGAGTTGGTCTCGCCCAGCCCTGGAGGGGGTCAGCCAGGTTGCAGGAGCTGCAGGTGGCCTGCACGGCGCCCCCCACCAGGTAGGGGCCCCAGGAGAGGCTGAAGCAGATGAGGACGATGAGTACGGTCCGCAGCGCTTTGAAGTGTCGGAGGTGCGCGTGGAGGGGCCCGGCCTGGGCACGGGCACGCCGGAGCCGTGTGTGCTGCATGTAGGCGATGCTGCCCACCGAGACGTGCAGGCACACCAGCACCAGCAGCGCTGGAGCGAAGACGCCGAAGCAGAGCGTGTACAGGTACTCACTCTTGGCTGCGTACAGCAGCCCGCAGTAACCTGTGTAGTTGCTTCGCTGGAGGGAGGGCAAAATCAAAGGCAAGTGCCCAAAAAGGAAAGAGACTACCCAGAGGACGACAAGGGAGAGGACCACAGGCGTCTTCTTTAGGGTGGGATAGGAGAGCGGCAGCCTCACTGCCAAGTACCTGTCCAGGGAGATCAAGAGCAAGGTCAGGATGGAGCCGATGCAGGGCGTCACACTCATGGCGATGCGCGAGAGGCAGAAGGACTTGCTGCGGTCAAAGTCCCCGTCGAGGATGTCGTCCAGTGCCTCGGTGATGCACATGACTCCCACCAGCAGGTCAGCGGTGGCCAGGTTGAGGATGTAGATGTAGCCCGTGGCTTGCTGCTTCCTCATCAGCCTGTACACAGCCACGATAACCAGCAGGTTGGCCGGGGGGATGAGGCAGCTCAGGAGGGAGCGCAGCACTGCATACAAGAGGTTGACCATTTTCCTCAGCGAAGAGGGCTGAAAAAGGCATCAGCTCCAAGAGATGCCCAGGAAAATGGACTGCCCACTTCAGAGAAACCCTGCCATGAGGAGATGCGTAGCCAAAATGGAGGAACGGGATGGAAATGCCCTCAGATCCTTCAGCTGCAAACTGAGACGAGACCAGGAAGGCTTAAGTCCATCCTTTAAGAGGCACTTTGTCCATCCCAGGAGACCTCCAGGACCTTCCCAGCTGCTGTGAGTCTCCAGTGGTTTTTCCAGGACTTCCAGGCTCCCTCCTTCCCATCTGATTTTTCCCTAC